AACCATCGACCTTCATTACTGCTGATGGAATTCCCCAGATGGTTTACAAAAGATGTGCCACTCAGTTAGCAGTTCCTGTTTCAATACTTGTCAACATGTCTTTGAGCAGTGGTGAATTACCCAGAGTATGGAAGCACGGAAGGGTGGTACCAATTCCTAAAGTTCAGAACCCACAAAAGGCCTCGGAGTTTCGGCCCATAAGCATTAACTCTGTGGTCTGCAAAGTTGCTGAGAAGATTGTAAGAAGGAAACTGCTGTCATTTTGCGTGCAAAAGCATCTCATACCGTCTGAACAGTTTGGGTTTATGGAGGGATCTTCCACTACTCTCCAACTGATTACTTGTGATTTTTACTGGAAAAGAGCCTTGGCACAAAATCGATTAACTGATGTTCTTTATTTTGACTTGTCCAAAGCTTTTGACAGAGTAGACATCCACAAATTAATTGAGAAACTATATTCAGTTGGAATTCGTGGAGGTATGCTAAAATGGCTCACGTCTTATCTGACTGAGAGAACACTCTCGGTACGAGTCAACTCAGCCATCTCTTCTATCTTCTCGGCAACCAGCGGAGTACCCCAGGGTGGTGTCTTATCCCCTATCCTTTTTAATATCTACACAAGTGAGTTACCCGGCCTTCTATCAATTGATTGGAGAATCAAAGTCATGGCATATGCAGATGATATAAAAGTTTTTGCTTCATACTCTGATGAGGACAAAGTCGAAGTGACTGATGCCTTGAGTGCTTGCCTTCAGAAAATCTTATCGTGGGCAGACTTGAACTGCATTGATGTTAACTTGCGTAAAAGTGTGTGCTTGACCATCACCAAAAGGCATGAACAAGAGAACACACTTAAAGAGTACACGCACTCCAGTATATCTCTGGCTAGGCCCGTGCTTGTAAGAGATCTTGGAATATTGATGGACCATAAGCTCCTGTTAAGATCTCATATTGAGAATATTTCGCGTGCAGCCTTACACAGAGTATTCCTTTTATTACGGAACTTGAAGCATGTAGACTTGAGAGTATACATCAAGCTGTATATGGCCTATGTTCTCCCTTCATTAGAGTATGCTTGCCAAGTCTGGAATCCTCACTTAAAGAAAGACATTCTAACCTTGGAGAAAGTCCAAATGGTTTTCACTCGTGTAATGTATTACAGATTTTTTCCAAGCGAGGATTACCCGTATACTCTTCCCTCCTATAGATGTAGGCTGGACCACTTGAAGTTGCATAGCTTGCTGTATCGAAGGGTTTTGGCTGACTTAGTGCTTGCCTTCCAAATAATTCGCCTTGAAACAAAAATTGTTCCTAGTGAATTCTGGGTTTGGAGACCGTGCAACGGCCGAACAGGTAGGTTTAGCTTCCACTGCATTGACTCTACTGTTCCAAATACACTCTTCTACAACTCATTTTTCGCACGCACTTCTCGATGGTTACAAAAGCTTCCTGACGCAGTTCTCTCTGCTCCTAATTCAACTACTTTCAGAAAAAAACTTCTTAATTGTGACTTTTTGAGATTGCTGGGAATAGATGAATCCGAGTACTTTTGAGATGAAGTTTCTCCTTATGTCCTTCACTTTTTTTTCTTACATTTTAAATTCTACTCTTGGCTGGCTCCTTTTTTTTTCAGAGTGTTGACTTGCTCAGTTTAACGCTGGCTATTTCTTCACTGTATTTTCCAATGCCCCATGGACTTCACTTGGGAAGTTGATCGCCTTTTTAACTCACTTATGTTGTCTCGTCTGTTTTGATTTCAGAGGCCTTCCATGGTTGCCTGTACAATTCAGTCGATACAACTCTGCTGAACTTCGGTCCACGTTCCCTTTGCCTAAATTGACTATCCTTGTTGTTTTGTTTTCATTTTCTCGTTGTATGGGTTACAGCATAGCATACATTAGTATGACCATCTCGTTCCATCAATCATTTTTTTTTCATTGCTGTTTTGCTGACATGCTCTTGACCTGAGAGGCTCTCTTCCGATATACGCAGCTTAGTGTTTGTCTTCTAAATCTGACATCGTCTTTGTCGTGTAATTTTATATGTCTGTCTCTTATCCTTGATCATCTTGTATCCAAGTCCGATGTTAGCGTTGTTGGGGTAAGCCGAACGAGGTCTCCTGCCCGCCGGGTACGCATGATTTCGCTCATTCGCCTAGGTGCTTATCCCTCTTTCTTCGCTCGAAAGTGACCGTATATTTATATACCGTCACGCATCGTACTTGGACTTGTACTTATATCAAGTTTAGTCCCCACGACACTGACTTTCTGACTTTGAAGACAACACTGACGAGCACCTAGTTTAGAGAATTACTCTCCTCAATTTCTCTAGGGTGTTGAGCATGTTACAATTTCGTTTCATCACTGTTTTTGTCTGTCGTTGCGTTCGTGTCTTAGTACTGGCGCACTGTGCACAACAGTGTATCAATAAATAAATAAATAAATAAATCATTGCCCCATCAAAGTACTAGGAAAATATCACGACTACTAACAATTCCCACATTCCATCTTTGAACCTTGGCATTGTAGTAACTTTTCAATTCCGTTGTGCCCTACAAAGTTTGTTATGGTGACAGCTTTATCTAATCAGCCTTACGTTTCAGTGGTCGTCGTCCTTAGGCTTGAGATATACCTGACGATGGGTGGCTATAGCTGACGATAAGACGCTGCGAGCAGCAACGTCTTTTGTGCGTATCGATTGACGCCAGGCGACGCTGCTGCTCCTAGCTGCTGCAGCCAACGCGAAACAGACCCGCTATAGCTAGCGATGCTGTGCTGCTCTTGCTGCTCTCTGCTGCTCCCAGCTGCTCGTTGCTGTTCCTCGCTGCTACGCGATATGAAGCTCACTTTTTGTGAGCTTCTCTCAGCTGCTTCGAGCTGCTAACGCTGATTTTGCTCGGATTTGCTCCTTTTTAACATATTTCTGAACTTCTGAAGGATTTTCAGAGCAGTTTCGATACTGATGAACTATGACAAATTTTCACCGAAACGCAAATGCATCAATAAGAAAATCGATAAAGAATTGACAAAGTCGACAAAGAATAATCTGATCAACTGCGTAGTCAAATTAGAGTAACGATGAAAAGCTAGAGGATTCAAACGATTCAGTGGATTACTAGTACACCTCAACAAATTAGCGTCTGCTATGACCTAGATAGTTTAGATGTTGCCTCAAGCACACATCAACTGTGACACTCGCTTGATATCTGTCAAATGATTAAAGATTTCCCAGTTTATGCGACATTTGGCACGCCATTTTATACTTGTTATAAAGAAAATTTCTTGATGAAAACAGTACGACTTTTTTGGGTCTCATATTATTTCTCAATTTTGGTAATCGTCAAGACTTACTTTCCTTAATAACCTAAGCTAAGCATAGTAATGGGTAAAGCTACTTCGTTCTTGCACCCACAGCATACCCAGCGCGGCAGCCACGAGCAGCTAAGGGCAGCGCAGACATCAGCGATTCGCCAACACCCGCTATACCTCCATCGTCAGGTATATCTCAAGCCTTAGAGGCCTGGAAAATTCAAAGCATGATCTGCAACATCATGCCACTAATGCTCCATCAAATCTTGCTAGTTTTAACGCCGTTCCAAACGTATGACACAACAGAATTGAAAGTGCGACTATTTTTTCTTACTTGCACTTTCAATTTTACGCTCCAATAGATGCTCATAAGTCCTCGTCCATGAACGTTTCGCAAAGAAGAGACTTGCAATCAGCGTTTTATGCCCTCTAATATGGTACAAATCCCGTCTTCCCATCTCACAAGGGAAGTTCACTTATTCGAAGTGGCGATTCGGAAGGAGATCTATACCAGTGGATAGAGCTTAAAAAGCTGATCTCAGATATACCTTCTATATCTGCGATGCGTTCTTCTAAAAAAAGTTATAAGCTTTTCTAAAGCCAAATTTTCGTGCATTTTGAGTCGCAAAACCATGATAATCGCTACGCAAAAGCGCGCAAGCTTAGGCAAACCACCTAACAAGCATTTTAGGTCTATTTCGAGTTTATTCGAACGCTTTCAAGTTTTTTCGACCATGCTGTTCATCCACAGGTCGCCATTTTATTCCTAGATCACACTTCCATCATGTATACAAAAAAGCCCCATAGCTTCCATCTAGAAAAACGCGCCGCGTCGGAAACTTTTTGGAAACTGCCAATAGATATAAAGTAAAACGATGTTTCCGAATATATCTTCAATATCTGCGACGCCTTCTTCTAGATGGGGTTATGGGCTTTTTTGTATATATAATGGAAGTGTGATATAGAAAAGAGATGACGGTCTGTGAATAAACATTATGCTCGGAAAACACTCGAAAACATTCGGATGAACTCGAATTAGATCTACAATGCTTACTAGGTGGTTTGCTTGAGTTTGCACATTTTTGTTTAGCAATTATCATGATTTTGCAACTCAAAACGCACGAAAATTTTGCTTTAGAAAAGCTCATAACTTTTTTCAGAACAATGCATCGCAGATATAGAAGGTATATCTGAGATCAGCTTTTTAAGCTCTATCCACGGGTATAGATCTCCTTCCGAATTGCCACTTCGACTAAGTGAACTTCCCTTGTCAGATGCCACTTCGCCTTAACACGCTTTCCTTGTCAGTGAGCGGTCGCATGTGGACCGTATCCAGTTTGTAAGCAATCATCCGTACCGCGATTAGTCCTATAACAATATAGTAACATGCTTTTTACTGCTTTTAGAAACTCATTTTAGCCCTATGAAAGAATTTTTCGGAGGGCATGGTGACGCCACGCCCCCTTTTCTGAATTTCGGGGAGGGCCGCGAAAATTTTGGGAGAAATACCAGAATTTTTTTCGGAGCGCGTGGCTAAGGCCACGCACCTCCATCAGAAAAATAAAATTTTGTCGCCCCCCCCCCGAGCGGAAATCCTGGGTACGCCACTGCTGTGGGGTGACCACGAACACACGAACTTGGTGCAGATCAACAAAAAACTGTTTGCGCAAGAAGTGCACATGAGAATTGAAAAAAACGTATTCTTTAATCAACGTCTAGCGACTCAGTAAACAGTGTGTAATTAGCTGTTGGTCAAAATTGAATGAGACACCTGGAGCTTTTACCCGATGGTCACGTAGATCAAAATTTGTACCTGTCTCAACAATAAGTATAAAAGTATCTCTGACAAGGTAAAAGTATCGAATGATCATAAAGCAAATGGCAATTACAGAAGGTGTCAAGTGCAAGCTTGTATCGAAGCAGGTCGCTGCCATCATATTAACATAGCTATTTTCCTCGTCCTCTTTTCGGCCCTCCACGAGAAGGGCCAGCAGCACCACCACCTCGTCCACGACCACGAGCTAAACAAATAACTTTTCATAGCATCGATGACGTTTTGATCAACTCAGTGATGTCGTACAGAATAAAACGGATACTTACTTGCACTAGGAGTTGGTTTTGCCTTTGCTTTTGACTTCCCACCCGGCTTATAATCTTGGTCATCGCTGTCATCTTCAAATTCACTATCATCGTCCTCCAACCTTTCAATGATATTTCCCTCCTCATCAATTTCTATCTCTGAAAATATCGCACTAGATCATAAAGACACTGAAGACACGAGATGCACAAATCAACTGACCGTAGTCCTGCTGAGCAGCCTTCTTGCGACCTTTTGACATGTCTTCTGTGGCGTACGGTAACATGCGATGCTCTTTGTTCAAAGCTCGTGTCAGTGCTGCTTTCACCTAATTACAAAGATAGAAGTTTAAGCCAACTACATAGAAACTCCACAAGTACCTTTGGAAGGATTTTGCTGGCAGGATCTATTTTTCCTGGCCATACAGCCAACTCTCCGACAGCTTCGCTATCCTCCCTCATGAGATCATAATCATTCATGGTGCATACAACTTCGCTGAAACAGTTTTTACCAGCTGACATAATGGCTTCTAATGGATAATAATAAAGTCTACTCTAATGGGTAATAATAAAGTCTAACTTACTTAACTCCATCAGTTTCCCGTTCAAGCAGTGGTTTAGTTAGACAATCGCGTAAGACCGGTATATAATCAGCAACCAATGAGTGCATGTCGGCAGATATCCTAAAAATGAAATCGTGATGTTTTTGTGGGAATCTAATATTTCCCTACTTGAGATGTGCATGCGTCGCCAACTGTCTCATCAGTCTCTGCCGCTTTCCAGCAGTAGAATTCTTTCCGAGCCATGCGGGGAACTGAATCATGGCTCTAAGATAGCCACCCGTAGCTAGTGAAGGCAACGCACACCCAAGCATAGCCTAAACAATAACGCCTATGAATATGCTCATAAACGAGATGACACTGGATACCTGTTCGTTAAGCAACTTCCAAGTTCCCGTTGTTCGTATACACCTCTCGATAGTGTCGCTATGCGCAATCAGGTCAGCAGCCTTACGCAATCCAGCCATAGCTTGTTTGGGTCTGAATATCACCAAAATAATGCCCCTGACGAGATAGATTCTCGAATCTCAACTCTCACGGATTAAGCTGCTGCGCATCATTAGAAGTGGATACTCACGGGCACCGTTTGCGAAAAGCGAGTAAAAACGTAGTAAACTCACGTATGCTTGTCATTCTTCATATTGGGATAATTTTCTTGTACAAACAACGGCATGATACCGTAGTCTACAAAGAACATGTCTTGCTTCTCTTGCAGAGTCGACCGAGGATCCAGCAATTTTCGAGCGGCCTCGAAGGGACCCTGAAAGTTCGTCTTTGAGCGGGAACGGTTGAATACTTGTGAACAAGCAGCGCTATCTCTCCCAAAAAAACACCATTCACTACGCCGCAACACCAATTGCTTACAACTGCTATGTCCTTCTTTTGCACCTTAGCTTTTCCACCGGCGGAGGCATACAGCTGCAGATTGTAGATGGATTGTCTCACATCATGCCCTAAGAGATAAACATTATGATCGAATCAGACGTCTATCATATGTCAGAAAAAGCAGCATCAAACTCGTACCGGACATTTCAATCATTTGATCGAGTTCTTCTTTTGAAATTTTGACCTTCTCTTGGCAAGCTATTGAGAGCATCCTTGCCTAAACCCGACTGGGTTGAAGAAAAATTATGCAAGAAACATGTGTTGGACACTTCGCTTGCTGACAAAAACAGAATTCTTACCCTAATCTGCTCAACTCGTGGTTTTGGAAATCGCACATCAAAACAGTAATTCGCCAGGCTGCGGATCTTCGGATGTTGGCGATCGTTACAGATACAAATGATTGGAATTTTTGTTTCCTTGATTATTTGTATCAATTCGGCTACCTTAAAGTAAAAGCTTGCATGTGCTATACTCTGGAACATTTACACAAAAAAGATCGGAGGACCGGAAGAAATGAAACTTACACCAGCTCGATCTTCATTACCACTCATTCCGTCAACTTCATCCATAATCAAAGCATGTTTAACCTCTTCCTCCGAACCTACAAACAGTATGTTTGGATTAAGAGACGTAGGTTTACGAAAAAACAGATCTCACCCGCTCCTTCGGGACGAAATTTGAAATACTCCTCAATCTGATGGGATCCTGTAAGCTGCGTGATCTGAAGAAAGGATTAACCAAACAAGAAACACAACTTATATTGACTCATGCTGTCTAGTCAAAAAAGTTTGATTCACTGATCTCGGAAACCACCAAAAAGTATATTAATAGTACCTGTTGCTCCAATGATTTCTTATTGCGAACATCCGATGCATTCATTTCCACAACCTTCATACCTAAGGTTTCACATGCCATAACAGCGCAAGTGGTCTTACCAATTCCTAAAATATACATGCAGTTGAAGTCACATTCAAAGACAGGTACGTATTTTTAGGCTCTTAAGTCTAAACGAAGAAAGCAAAAAGGGTAACATTTGGAAGGCAAAGGCTCCAAAATAAAATGTTTCGAACTATAAGAAAGAATTTCGTAAAGAATTCAGAAAAAGTGCGCTAAAAGTCGATAAAAAGGCAGAGCGGCCTTTATAAAGAAACCTGGAGTTCCGGAAAGTAGAACAGCTTTGAATGGAGCTCCATCGGACTGTGCCATGAACGGTGGTGGTCTCGCTAGATAATCGCCGTTATGACGATGATACGGAGCTTTTATGTCAACTCACGCTTCTTGATACGACCTCCTTCTCCAAGATTATTTCGACCCCAGTCTCTCAACCATCCCAGAAGTTTATTTATGGGGCTTTTGTCTCCATGTTGACCGACCAGGTGAGATGCGTTCTTCGGCTTGTATTTATCAACCCAAGGAACGGAGACTTCTCCCTGCGAAGAGACTCATGGAGTCAAAGCATAGAGCAGATTGCAATAAATAATAAAGTAAGAGCTTAGGAGGTAAAAATATATTAGAAAAAAAATTAAGCGAAAATGAAACCGAAGTGCACAATTCGATATTCCGAATGAGAGGAAACGACAACAAACCCACCTTAGCTACTTTGGGAACTGCCACTACATCAGATTTTGGTTTATCGTGATGCTGAGGTATTGAGCTTTCTGAGAAGAACTGGTTTCTATTGGATAAGATCTGGATATCACTAACCTTTATGAGACTTAGCAGCGGTCTTTTGCGTTGTAGCTTTCTCTAATTTTACTTCTTCTGTCTTCTTTTGCTTTTGATCAATTTTTGATTTGACATCAGCTTCCCTTTGCTTTTGCCGTTTATCGTCAGTTTTACTCTTTTCTTTCTCTTTGACCTAATAGTACATTCCTCAGGGCTCATAAAAATAAACGCCTGTTCTACCTGCTCGACCTTTGCGGGCTTTTGTTCAGCATTTTCCTTCTGGGATGGGCTAATTTTAGCACTTTTCGCTGGAGCTTTCTGGAAAAAAGAGAGCGTTCTTGAATAGATGTACAGATAAGCACTTACTTTGGATGGGGAAGATTTTCCTTTCACATCCGTGTCTCCAAAAAAGTCAGAAGCACTAACTGGCTCCAACTTCTCCGCTGATTTCTTCTCCTTTTTCACTGAAAGAAGACTATAGTGTTAGAACAATTTCAAATTCAATGTTTTCTCCCAAATGTTCACCTGGAGTGACTTTCTTGGTTGCTGCTGCAAAGGCAAGCTTTTTCTGTCCCGCTGGAAGCACATCCTTCTTCTTCGTCTTCTTTTTTTCGACGAACTCATTCTCGCTATCAGTTTCGCTCGAGCTTGTCTAAAAAATCTTGAGTAAGGCATCGCTGTTGCTAGCGTTTACAAACTGGATCGCGTGGGATAAACCAGGATACAGAAAGGATTTGCAGTCATGTAATCAGGCAGCCCATCCGGATTCGAGATTTTGATACGGTACCATAGCGAGGTCCCTAACTAAAAGTCGCCCAAGTCCTGCTGCGGAAAGAATGCTGCGAGAAAATCGCTGAGGAATTTGGAAGCGACGGTGACCCCGCCCAATACGTTGATGGTTTGTGAGACCAAAGTCGGGCTCCACTGCACCCAAATTTGTCAAAATGCTCTTCGTTATGATTAACAGATTTTCGACGTCTCAATTTTGGACCCACTTTTATGGGGACAAGCCACCACCGCCGTTTCTATTTTCTAGAATGGTTTCTTCGCTTCTGAATTTACCCTCGATATCATCCCATATGTCTTCCCTCAACATGACGTGGATTACGTGGCTTGATGAGGCGCCGCCTCGCCTCGGGCTCGCGCCACGTTGCGCGCGCATCATTTGGCGCCACGTGGCGCTCAACACAACGTGGCGCAGGCTTTTCCACGTTCTTCTTGTTGCCACATCACGCCGAAAATGCGCACGCAACGTGGCGCAAGCCTGAGGCGAGGCGGCGCCTCATCAATCCACGTAATCCACGTCATGTTGAGGGAAGACATATGGGGTGATATCGAGGGTACCTCTTGCAGCCCCGATTTGTACCATGTCAAAATCTTACCGCCCTCAATTTTGGTAGATCAAAAATCACCCACAAAGTAAAGGATTTACCTCTTCATCACCTGACTCATGGACCGGAGTCGCTTCACGTTTGTTTTGTTTCTTTACTGGCGATTGTTCTTCGTCGCTATCATACGCTATTACACGTGATCTCTTGGTTCTTGTAGGTTTCACCGGAGACGGAGAGGCGGACTTGATAGTAGTCTTTTTAGAAGATTTTGGAAGCGGAACGTCATCATCATCGGAATCTTAAAGAGTCGAAATAGAGTTTCGTTACAACCGACGCAAACTAAGGTATCACCAACCAGAGATAAGGCGTCGCAGCGGACGCTTTTGTTCGCTAGCTCCTTTGCGAAGTGAAGAGGGTATCGGAGACTCACCATCCGCTGCAATAACTACAGAATAGCGAAAAGTTCAAAAGTACTGGCCAGTTCCTTATAAGACGAAATTAGTCCATGTGAACACTCACAATCATCATCGTCGCTCAAATTCACCACTGGGATCTTCTTCTTAGGAGACTTCCCTTTCTTCTCCGCCACATCAATTTTTTCTGATCTCTTTTTTGGTTGTGATTGTGGAGTGGATGGAGCGCCTTTTTTCAAAGCAGTAAGCGCACTTGATCCCGCTGCATCACCTTGAGAAGTGGATTTCCTCTTATCGAAGAAACCGCGTATATCCTGAAAAGAAATTTTCCACTGTAAATGACAAGTATATATCCAATTCCGCATGGGTGCAGACAGAACGAACTAACTCACCATATATAGTTAGGGGACGATTCGTAATGATGAAGCCAGGATCGAACTGCGTGCGTTTCAAATTCCCGCCATTTCAAGTCCGTGGCCAACGACGCGAAATTGCGATCTGGAAAAATTCATCCTACTTTTTTAATCAAAAGGAGTCGCCAGCTACACATAGTTACTTCATAATCGAAGCATTCATTTGTACACTTGAAAATAGATAATTGTATGAAGAAAAATCTCAGACTGTTTTAGTTAATAGATGTTGAGTACCAAGGGAAGTACAGATGGCTTGTTCAACTCGTTTCGAGTAGTACTGACTGACTGCAATTATGCTCGTAGTTTTGGTACTAAATAGCAAAACAACATAAAAATGTTTTTGTTAGATGTTAGATTATTACGAAGCTCCAGGAGACGGTGATATGTTCGGAATTTAGCTGATTTGTACTGCCGCAGCGGGCAATCAACTGTCAGGACTTTTGGCGGTTGTGTTTATCTGCGCTTTGTTTATTTCCAGCCATTTTTGTTTATCCCTGTGGAAACACGTAACCAAATAGTGATCGCTAGTTTGGCACTTCTTCGCAGGTACATGGAACAGGTATGTGTATCATCTGAAATCAGATTTACCTGAATAGGAGCTTGAGCTGAATTTATATCTATCTGCGCTTCACCTGCTCCACTTCTCCTGTCGATTTTGTAGGCTTTGCAGAGAACTGCTTGAGTGATTTGCGGTTATCCTCACTTTTTTCAGTATTGTTCTCTGCTTGGCCAAAAAATATGTTGAATGAGCTTCGTGGGCATTTACTTGCTCGTAACTCAAGACGCCTTGTCACCTGTTTCTGTTTTGCTGCCGACTTCCGATGCATCGTGTTTCTAATTCTTGAAGGTCGATTGATTTGTGCGATAATGCCTTCGATCATTTTAAGGGTCTTGACCTTAGCTGGTTCCTTAAAAATGGGGACTTTGTCGTTGGATATGCTTTTTATCCGACGGCTGGGTTCATTACTGAAGCTTCTGTTTCCATTGAACCGTCACTCGAAAACAGCATGGCTTGCACTTGTCGTACTCATCACTTCGTTTCTGGGTAAGTTTCTTCATTCTCAGTGTCTTATAGTCTTTGACTTTACTCATTTTCTTTCTTACCCCACTTTCCAAAGTCTGAGTAGTTGAGGGGTCGATTTTGGCGAGTAGACAGTTGTCATCTCTAACATAACAGCCGTAGTGATCTCGTTGTTGTGAAGAAAATAGCTGGAAAGGAAAGATTAACTCTAGCGTTTTCGTGAAGATCAATCTTTGCTATTTTTCCAGCAGTATCGCATGAATGCAACTGTTGAAACTGCATCTGATTTTGTGAGATCATGGGTCTCATGTCAGTCAAAAATGCGTACTCTGCATTGTAGTTTCTGGCATTTTTGCGCTGTTTGCACTGACGCTATGCAATTGCGAAGAATGCTTGGTGTGATAGCACCAAATAAAGGAATGAAATCAATTTTACAATTTATCTGTACAAATTTCAATAGTTAACAGAGCCACTTGGTGCTGATACAGTCCATATCTGGAGAACAAGAGGTTTGTGTCTTACTTTCTGCGTTTTAAATAGGATGTACAGGTCGGCCTGCGACTATGGCTGACTGTGAAATCACACGCTTTATTATTAGGCGCTATCCAGACGGCAGTTTTGCATGCTTTTATTGGATCTTAGGGTGGCCTTGTAACTAGGTTGTGGAGAGAGCTTCTTATAGGGGCTTGATGTGATATATCCATGCCGCCTAGTCACACTGTTAACATCAACTGGAACAAAGTATCGTTTAAACTCTTTATAGCTGACTTTTATAGAATTCAATTAGTGTCCCTTGCTTTTTTTTCCAAGGCGATGTCGTTCCTCATCTTCGTACACCTGTTTTTCCACATCTCGCTTATCGCTACATTATTTCAAAGCTTATTTTATACACGTCTGACAGCTTCACGACTTTTTCAATTCAATTTTTTTCTGGTCTTCTGACAGCGTTCTTTTCCTTCACTTTTTATACCACAGCGAAAAAGTTCAAGTGAAAGTGTACGAAGCAGTGATGTGTACTCAGTCTGTGATTTGTACTTTACTCAGCGACGGCATTCTTAGTACACACCAAGAATCATAACAAGATGACTCCGAAATGCGTTTCGCTGATTTCTAGAAGTGGGTAGAATAGCCAGAATAGCACTAAAGAGTACCAGTCATCATGCATGCAGCAATATGATCTTCTGCACTTCTTTGATTTTCGCTGAGCGTGAGATTTTGAAGGGAGATCAATAATACACTGTATATAGTGGTTCTTATGCTTATACTAAGCCAGATCGTTGATCGCAGCTATGTGCGACTATACATCACAACAATGTTTACCTTTTCTCTCAAGAGTGGCAGAGTGAACGGCCAGTGGCGTGAAGGAAAGTGCAAATTTCTAATCACTGAGAGCTAACTCTCCACGGTTCATCACCAGAGGCCGTCGCGTGATCGCTCAATGTAAGGGGAAAAGGGTGCTGGAAGAACGCGAGAAAATCAAGAGAGGGGTGCAGAACCACATTTTCTCACAGATCCTTCTATTTCAGACCAAGTAGGGACATACTTTGTTGGAATCTTGCCAAGTCAGTTCTATGTTGTTCTTGGAAATAGGGATCTGTCCGCATTCAAACTTCTAATTGCGAAAGCTACGGTGATAGTCATAGCGAAATCAGTGGTGAGTTGCTTCTTTTTGTTTTTTTCAGCATCTCATCTTATAGATTTAGTCTCTTGCGTCAATCAAGTACTTCACCTCCATTCTTGCCATCAGGTGTAGAGAATTATGCACCTATACTCTGCACAGACTTTATTTTAAAAGAAGAGCTTTCTATAAATTGGGTACCATGTCTGAGGGTCTTGATAACATGTAAGTTTTCTATCTGCTCTACATTACTATGGTGTTAGTTTTTTCCATCTAGTTTCGAAGGATTTTTTTCCAGTGACCAGCGTTTGACTCAAGATATCGAAAAGACTACTCAGGCACTCGCTGTCGATCTCTTTGCTCCAGTCATCACTGCGCCTTTCATCATATTATATTACTCTTACCTGACTTGGAAAAGGTTTGTATCTTTACCGCTAAGCATTGCTAATAATGTTAATTTTTTTGATTCCAGCTCAGGATGGATGGGTCCTTTCACGATTTATATTTATTTTGCGCTTGTAACAACTGTTAATCGTTACCTTTTGTCCCCTATTGTGGGTCTTGTCAATGAAACAGAGAGACGGGAGGGCGACTTCCGGTTGGTTTTCTAACTTTTTTGCATGCGCAGGCGTTGAATTCATGAATTGTAGTCAGCGTCATATGGAAGTCAGAACTAATGTGGAGTCAATTGCCTTCTATCAATCTGGTCTTATTGAGAACATCATGGCAAATCAGAAGCTGAAAATCTTGTTGAAAACAAAGGTGATGAGTTGCGTCTGATCTGCATGTGTTCTTAGCTTACTCCAATTGTCTTCAGAGAAAGCTCATTGAGTGGCGATTTCTCCTCGGCATTGTCACGAATATATTTGATTATTTTGGTGGAACACTGTCGTATCTTATCATCGCGATTCCTATATTCATGACGCATACATATGATTCGCTATCTGGTACAGAGCTTAATGGTGTCGTGTCAATGGTAAGATCTTCAAAACCTTTAGTTGTGAATAAAGCATCCGTCGCCAGTAGCCACGTACTGTTGAGTTCATCCATAGTGCTAGCACCCAATATCACATCATCCCACCACATCAGCTTCCAGTAAACGTGGTATCTATCATGAATAGGTTTGGTCACACACCGGCTAGGGGCTATCATATGTAATTTCATAAGGTTTTATTCGCTCACTGTGCTTGCATGGTTTGCATGATGGACAATAGACGTTTTGAGGTCTTCGGTCGTGATTGCTTATATTGGTTTTAGTTATTTCAGAGCACAGTCGGTCGGATAGCCTTTTCACGGTCAATGAATCTTACCCTAGCTTTAGCATAAGAACTTTGCTGTCGCATGTTGCAAAGGGTCTGTAGATGCTTTGGAAAGTGGCAGCTGTTGCCAGGTGACTTTGATGCATGCAATGACATCAATGCGAGGGGATTGTATGATTTGTACCGTCTCAGGAAAGCAAAACAAATCTTGGTGGGCCTGTTACTTTGGAAGCGCTTCTCCTCGTTTAACAAGTTCAGAGGTTTAAATCCTCTTGCAGCTAAGTGATCTTTGAAAAGTGTCGAAAACTATCCTACTCACGAATACAGGACGCTTTTTTCTGTATTCGACAAGCCTGAACACCCCAAACCTTTTCGCGACCAGCTGACCCTATACAATGCTGCGTATTGCCTGAATGTATCGTGTGGCATAAGTCTCGTTTACCAAAATACAGCGAGGCGGCTGACCGGTTCGCTTGAAAAATTGAAATATGCACGTCTTGTTCTCGTGAACCTAAGGTACTTTGATTGTCAGTCAACACTTACGAGCTAGTTGTGACTATTCTGCTAGGCGGGGATTGGAAAAGAAGCCCGGCTGATAGTTATACGTCAGGTCAAAAATAGAGCAAATCTGCCATTGCGATCCGCAAACTAGCAGGCTTTGCATTTGCTTGCTGAGACTTTGTCAGGGCAACGGACTGTCTCATTGATTTTCTTTACAGAATGCATTCTTCTATCTTTATTTGATCTACAGCTTTACAAATCTGATCACACTATCAGAGAAACTAGGAGATCTTGCTGGTGTTACGCACAGGTATTTAGATATTTCTTATCAGTCATAACTACGCTATACGTGCAAACAATTACGTATTTTGTATGCGCCACTGAGAATAGCAATGTTGTGGAGATGTGACTGTTTGATCACCTTGATTTTACGTTTGTAGTTTTGCCTTTCTCTCTAATTTGTGCTTTTTGATCAAGTATCACTGAAATAAGAGGGATGAAAATTGATGTGAGAGGAGTGTTTGGAAGAGGAAGGGGGAGTTCACAATTTCATCTGAAGTCAGTGAATTTGAGACTTGATTCCCATGTCTTCTTCGTTTGACTAATTTTTTTTTGATATTTTCTCGATCCTACTGGTTTGACTCAATGTTTTCACGAGTCAGCTAAAGCCCTTATCCCACATTATGTAGTTTTTCTCTTTTTTGGGGAGAGAGATAGAACTATGAGCATTTTATTACAGGGTGATCGAATTACTGGAAGAACTACGACGGTTGCACTCCGATTGTCTTGAAACAGATAGGCCGCCGTCCACCGTACCATCAAGCGTCGTAGTAATAGGGAGTGACGAAGAGGAAAAGGCTATCACTAGCAAAGCGGTAATTATCAGCAAAATGTCACGACTTTATCATGAATAGTCGTTTAGATCGAAGAATTACATGGCAAACAGCTTTCGCTCGAACGGGATTGCGACGATGAGGAGGAAGCCCAGTTTCTCCTAGGTAACAATAGAAATACAGCTCTTCCTTGCATGTAGTACCCATTCTCTTCTCAAGGCAATACTGTTGACCGCGATGATGAGTGTCCTGATGATGGAGTAGCAATGACCTTAGATTCAGCCACTTTAGCCGCTCCTAATGATGCACACAACGTCATAATCGCTAGTAAGTTTTGGATAAACTTCTTTAGCTTATTTCATATTTATAAGCTTTATGACTCCGACAGCTACATAGCCGCAGAGAACAAGTCCAGCTTTCCTAAATCTTTGCAATCTAGATCTTTCCCTACAACTTATACAAGGGCAAAACGTGCTGATTACTGGTGATAGCGGCGTTGGCAAAACTTCATTACTCAGGCTCTTTGCTGGTTTATGGAACAATGTATCAGGTATGCCTCGCGCCAATGACCACTTTTTAAGTTCTTATATTCTCATACCATATTTGCTACATTCTGTTTATCATTCAAGGCAAAATAGATCGCCACTGGCGCGTTCGTCCACAGAGTTTGCTATTTGTCCCACAAAAATCTTACTTTCCCTCTGGCGGTGTCACTTTACGGCAGCAGATAGTTTATCCGCTTAAGGCTCTTCCAGTGGAAAAAGGTGGGTGTGCAGCTCTGTTGATTTGCTCTAATTTTTTCTGTACTGTTAGAAAGCGATTTTATTCAGATGTTGTTCGATTAACACAAATTCTTGAATGGGTGAAAATGGAGCACTTGTTGGAGCGATGTCAAGGTTTTGATCATCCTGTCGAGTGGGATTGGTAAAATAAACTTTTCACACTAGTTCTTTTCAAGAAGCTCATCTGAGAAAAGCGGGTTATGAATTGAGTTCGAGCATTCTTTAATCAAATGGTTTCAGGTGCGAGTCATTATCTCCTGGTGAATTGCAGCGACTGTCTATGGCACGTGTTTTCTATACAAAGCCGAGGATAGTATTTCTGGATGAAGCCACAAGTGCCATTGGTTTTGAGACAGAGATGCAGCTATACAGGAAACTGCAAGAGGTTTGCTCTTCAAGGTTTTTCCGTGAAAATCTTCTTTGTGTCCTTTCAACGGCGAGCCTCAAGAACCATATTTCCTGGCACTTATCGTATCAGTACCATCGTAAACACTATTGCGGGTACTAGAGACTATACTTTGGGAAATTCGAAATTTTTTTCGATTATTCGAATATCGAATAATATTCGGAAATCGAAATTCTCGAATATTCGACTATCGAATATTATTCGAAAATCGAAATTTTCGAATATTCGACTATCGTCGCGAAATCTCAGATTTTCGAATATTTGAATTTTCGAATCATTCGCATTCGAATGATTTACTCGAATAATCGAATAATCATTCGATTCGGTCCAAAGTATACTAGAGACTCTTGGGCTTCTTGCCCTTAACGAAAATACAAGTACAAAAGACGCTGGTTCAGGATTTATTAACAAGAGTTGACAAGAGTACAGCGGGCACGAGAGTAGGATAAGGATACGTTTCTATTCTACGATAGATATGCAAGTCAGAAGGGGGGAGTAAGGTTCGGCCACGCCTATCTCGGCTTGACCTAAGGTCGCGGCGGGGTATCATCATCGGCGCGATGATAAACACCGCGTTCGGTCTATCTGCTTTTTTTGTGTAATCGAGCTCCATAGTAGTCAACAAAATCCTGTGTATGCTTAGTACCTGATGAACACTCACAGGACGACAGATGGTGGAAGTGGCGATGCAAAATGTGTACTGTAATAAAACGATTGAATGTTATCTCGCACAACATCTGCTCATGACAATTATTGAAAATTCACTACATCTATCGTAATTATGGTTTTGCTATACAGAAAAACTAACGTGACTATGGGAGTTACATTCATCTTTCATTCTATCAGTTAACAGCAGTGGGCCATTGTAATTTTGTGAAAGGACGTCACACCTTGGGCGCAAGGTGTGACGTCCTTGAACTTTGAAAAGCATTGAACGTCCGCTCCGCAAATTGTGAAATAAAGGCACCCCCTCTTTTTTTCGAAACGGGATCTCATCTCAACAAAGAATTTGTAATTTTTCAGGAAGGCATAACCTTTGTGTCTGTTGGACATCGATTTTCCCTGAAGCAGTTCCACGACATGGAGTTACGGTTGCTTGGCAGGGGCGAATGGTCCATGTACGACATCGATTCCGCATCAATCGCCAGTCGCGCTGCAAGCTTATGGAACGATACTGTAATGTCGATGTAGGGAGTTGACCTTTCGAGTCATACAGCAATTTTCCGTGCAATATGTAGCGTGCTTAAAGACACCGTTAAGTCATGTGTTAATAACTGTTCAGTTCTCTTTCATTGAGCTCCCCGTGGACCTTCCTCATGCTTTTTCCTTAATCAGGTACAATAAGCCTTTTTGATTTTGAGCCTCACATTCCTTTCCTTTCCGAATCTCTATAATCCTTTTTCTTTACGCCATGCTGTCGTCTATGTTCTCGTACAAGTTTCCTGTGACCTAATGGTGCTCTCCCAAGTCCTTATTTGCTCTTAACTTCTAGCCAACGAAAAAAGGATGTCAAGTTCAAATAATGTCGAAATTGTTAACAGCAGCGCTAAGGACAGCGCAAATCATGATAGTGTCACTTGCGTGCTTTCTAACTGATGGGCGTAGAAGAGTATCATCACGATAAATATAATTTTTAGACTCAAAGTTTATCTGAGTCAAAACAGTCGCGCCCTTGTTTGCTTCATAACCTGTGCTAGGCTGGTTATCCTGTTCACTTCAGTTTTAGTCGATTCAGAGGAGTCAAGTGAACACTTTTGTTTTGTGCTGTCCTTATATGCTGATGACGAACGTCACTAATCTTGCCAAATTTGAGTCTCTTATAGAACTTTCAATTTTCAAGTCTCTTTTATATTGTATATAAGTATCGTCTTTTGTATCATGGCCAGGTTTTCTGTAACCTCGTTATTTTGTTAACAACTTTGTTTGTATGCTATGAGCTTTAAGTAACTTACTTTATAGATGTCTCTGCGAAACCGACTGATTTTAGATGTTACTTTCAGTAGTGTAAATAGTGTTTAGAAAATAAAGATAGCTAATTTGAGTTTATTGTTGGTAAATGAAATCAGATGCTTGACCTGAAGAACGCTACAAGAGAAGTTCGCTTAGTCGAGGCGATTCGGAAGGTGATCTACCCCTACGGAGCTACAATATCACCCGTAATTTGTGAAAAAAAATGGCGGCGGCACTTAACTCACGCGGTGCCGTCGCAGTTAAGTGACAAATGCCGCGTCGCGCGACAAAAGTCGGCGGAAAAGCGGCATTTGCCGCCTAACGTTGCCGCGCAACGCCCAACTTTTTTATAAAAAAGACCTTATCTTGATCCAAAATTTATGAATTCTATATATAAGAGTACCATTCAACTCAGCTCGGCGAGGTGCGTCTTCTAGTATACAGATGTGCCTAGTTGTGGGATATAGGTTTTTTTCTTGGAATTTTAGTGTAAATGGATCATTCAGTGTGCTGATTCCAGAGGCTACCTGCACATTCTGTTGAGTACTGCAGAAATAGGGTGAGTATAATTTAAGAGCTCACTCGGCACGGATATGTGTAGAACTGGGCTTTTCTCGGCGAAGTATGACGGGTCCCAAAAATGCAAGAAGACAAAGGGGAACGGCAATGGCTGGCAAATCGCATGCGAAGCAAATATCGTGGAATTCGGCGCGTGCTGTGCAATGTACATACCGCTCGGAATTTGAAGGCGGCAGCTGCTGGACCCAGGCGACCTGATTTCGGCGACGCCGTTGTCGAAATTCGCGTCGCATTTTAATATGAACCCCCAAATGCATTATTCCAAAATTCGGGATTTGAAAACTCAGTTTGGCTAGGCGCACTTCTGCTTGGTGTAAAGTAGATATACGGTATGCAGTCAATTTCACGTTCTTCTGTATGCAGTCAATTTCACGTTCTTCTTAAAAGTTCAGTGTAGATCGATTATTCACTGTGATGATTCCAGAGGCCACATTCTGTTGAGTGCTGCAGCAATACGGTAGGTATAATTTAAGAGCTCATTCTGCACGGATATGTGTAAAATTTTGTTTAGAGCTTTTATTCGGTTTGCTGCCTACAAAGATTTTATTTATCTGCTGCAACGTCTCCTAAGCGCTATTTAACTTTTCTTCACCGAAAAGCAGTCATTAACTGCGCCGGTGGCAAACCGTTGAGGTACCTTAAATGTAAGGCTGAAGGTGAACTGCTTAAATCTGTTTGGACTCTTGATTTGCCACTCACCGTATGTCTGCAGCATGCACTATACCTACCGTATCCATTATGCTCAGCAGAATGTGGCCTCTGAAATCAGCACATTGAGTAATTCATTCGAGCTAAAATTTAAGAAGAATGTGAAATTGACTGCCTACCGTACACCTAACCCCACGACTAGGCACTCTACAGGGTTTCAAACGCAGCGTCGTTTGTATCAGCATCTCCACTCCCGCGCTGGACTCTGTGTCTCTTCCGCAAACATGCTCTCTGATCACTTTCAATCGATTGAGGCTCCGCCTTTCCCACTCTCGCCGGGGAAGTGATCAGAGAGAATGTTCGCGGAAGAGCTACAGAGTCCAGCGCCGGAGCACAGATGCTGATGCAAGCGACACTGCTTTGGAAAAGCCCGGTATGTATCCGAAGACGCGCCTCGCCCTTCGCCAAGCAAAGTCGAATGGTGGTTTTGAATTCGGAATTCACCACTATGCTGATTGCGACTAGTCCATCAGTTTTCAGAGCTTACCTTTACTTTCATCACTTCTTAGCATTCAGCTACGGAGCTGGGAGTTGGCGCATGGGCTAGGTGAATAAGCTGATCACGAAGTCGTAATGAAGCAGGAGACTGTGGAAGGCATGTGGAAGTGGGCCGTGCGGGAAATGCTGTACGAAGGTAGGGCTTGTGATATACAATGACCGCCAAAAAGTTGCGGACAAGTCGCCTTCATTCTTTCATCGCTCATTTTCAGATGGAAAACAAAGATGAAAAAATGATTGGATTGCTTGTGGTGATAGAGCTCTTCAAGAGCTACAATCTAGCACATTGAGTAAATCATTCGAGCTAAAATTTAAGAAAAACTTGAAATTGACTGCCTACCGTACACCTAACCCCACGACTAGGCACCTCCATATGCTGGAAGATGCGCCTCGCCAAGCTGAGTTGAATGGTACTCTTATATATAGAATTCATAAATTTGGGATCAAGATAAGGTCTTTTTTATAAAAAAGTTAGGCGTTGCGCGGCAAAGTTAGGCGGCAAATGCCGCTTTTTCGCCGACTTTTGTCGCGCGACGCGGCGTTTGTCACCTAACTGCGGCGGCGCCGCGTGAGTTAAGTGCCGCCGCCATTTTTTCCACAAATTACGGGTGGTATTGTATGCTGATCTCATATAAGCTTGTGCTATATCTGCGAAGCGTTTTCCTAAAAGAATTTCAAGGCTTCTTGTATTTATAATGAAAATATGGTCTAGAAGGAGTATGACTACCTGTGAAAAATAACATGGATGGAAAACACTCGAAAACGTTCAGATGATATTAGATTAGACCTACAAAGCTTTTAGGTGCTTTGCTCAAGTAAAGCTTGAGCCTGCATACTTTTGTTTTGAAACTACTGTGATTTTACGACTCACAATGCACGAATGTTTGGCATAAGAAAAGTTCACAACTTCTTTCAGAGGAGTGCATCGCAGATATAGAAGTTATATCTGACTCAAGGTTCAAAGCTTTATTCATGGGTATACACATCACCTTCTGAATCGCCTCTTCGATCAGGCGAACTTCCCTTGTTGAGCGTCATTTGCTGCAGAGTGATGTGTCAAAAAACATGTAGTTTTTGTTCGAAACTTCTAAGTCCCCGGAGAGACTTCACGCGATTTGATCGTCGCGACTAAATCGCGACGAGACAACTGTTAAAACATCATTCCAGCCCATCAACTTGCATTTCGGTTGTGATACTTTTCCAGCCCGAAATTTTTGAATGTGAAATGAAAATGAATGGAAATCTCGGCGACTGAATCGCGACGATCAAATCGCGTGAAGTCTGTCCGGGGCCTAAGAATGATCGCAATTTCCAGAGCAATCATACTGAGCTAGCTGTGAATGGTGGCATGAGCAACATAACAGATTCTGTGCTGAAAGTCTAATTCGTGGTCTTCCTCATTATTGGAATGCCCCGCAGGTGACAGAACTGGATGATGATAAGTGGAGCAGGTCGATTGGTCGGGGTATGGGCCTGGAGAAGCCGTTGCGACTGTGACTACGCATCTTCAACCGAATCAACACTGCGTGTGTTGGATCACAATCGCATTTGACCAATGATTGTATCTATGTCATTACGTAGTGGATAAGTTGTTTAACACACGGAAGCGGCACAGGGTGGTGGGTTGGCGAACCCATTGGGTCAGCTTACTGCTGAATTGGGGGTATGAAGCCATCCTATAATCTGTGAACGAAATCAATGGTTTGGCGAAATCAAAAGTCGTATAGTCGATTCGTGGACCGCACGAACTACTCAGACACTGCGGACCATGCGCGGCGCGGCTGGATTGTCGCGAGAGCACGATTTGTACAAGGAATAATTTGTACTGGAGCAAACGTTTTACCTCGCGGCGCGTGCTCCGCAGTGATGTCCAGTCCGTGCGGTCAATGAACCAACTATATTTACCGATATCTAAAAAGCATCTAAGGGACGGCTATACTATTCCTGTGATTCCTGCAAATCCTGAGATCTCTGTCATTCCTGCGGGTCCCGTCACAATGTAGATCGCAAAAAACAATGTATTTTGAAATTCGCAAGGCGCCCCTAGTAGGGCACATCGGAAGTTGAAGAGTCACACATATTGCAGGAATTTCAAGAATCGCAGGAATCACCTCCTGGAATAGCATGGCCTTCCCTAAGACAAACCTATTAGGTTCAAGGACTGGGTGTCAGCCAAACGAGTTGGTGCTTAAAAGGAGATGCCGCCGATTGGCTACACTCCTGGCGCACAGGTACCACTCACTCTTGAGTGATTAGATACTCGAGAGTGAGTAGCTCACCATTTAGCCTACGGGGATCCCGTAGGCTATACAGATTATAGAGTTCATCAATGGTTGATGATCCAGAAATCATCAACACTCCGGGCGAGCGAGAGGAAAGTGAGATCTGGTAAGATCTTGATAAGTGTAAACACAGTGAGGTTGACTAGTAAGTTAGTGAACACCTATACAGAATAACGATCTATGAATAAGAGCTGCAAACAATTAAGACATTCACACGAAATTGATTCAATTCACAATATATGCGCAATGGTATGATCAGTTGAGGTGGTTGATGGAGGCGAATTTCGTTTTGGCATTGCTCGTCGTCGTCGCCTTTTCCTCTTCGTCATTGATTTTGAATTGATAGTAGAAGCATTATTGACGGTCATCCTCTCGGTAGACGCCGTTTTGATAAGGCGTGAACTTCTGTGATGTCTGCCCTTCCTCATCCTTGCCTCTGCTTGCTTCCTAAGATACGACGAGGTGGTGGTCATTCCATTTGACATCATCGCAGAGCCATCGGAAGAGTTTGTTAGGGAACGGATTGTGTTCAGCCAACGTTGTCTGTCTGCTTGAGCTTCATTGAAGATGGAAACTTTGAGCGTCTGCCTCATTTTTCTTGATAGTCTTCCTTTGGATGAAGGAAGCTGTTGTAGTTTTGTTGGCGGGGATGTTTCCTGTAGCGTTGATATGCAACCGAAAGTGCCAACGGATGTTGTTGTGGTGGTGTTGCGACTCGTCCCTGATATGACGTATCCGAAGACTGTTGGAGTCAGAATGAGCCCTGAAGGGAGCTTGAGC